CAAAAATCACCAGATTTAAGTCTGACATTGAATAATAGTTTCCTAATTTGCGCTCCTGTGAAGCCTTTTTTGGGGTTTTGATTTAAACGTATATGGGTATAACTGAAGTTGCACCCAAAAAAATGATAAAAATGACAGAATATTCTCAGCCTCTAACTAGAGCAATTGAACCCAAATCACTTAAAGAGTTGGAAGACTAATATAAAATCTCCCTCCCTCCCTCCCCCTATATATATATAGGGAGAGAGAGAGAGAGAGAGATCTTTTCCATGTAACATTTTGTTCCACGTTTTAAGTAGAACATAAACGGGCTTCAACTTTTATGTATATAACAATAGAATGGTGAAGTCAGGTTCTCTTGATTTCATGAAGTTCACATTAAAAAGTACATATTTGAAATAAGTGCTCTTGTTCGTGTACTTCTGCAATTATTTCTTATCATCATCGTTTAAAATAAGTTTAATGACATAATTTATAGTGTATTGTCGGTAAAATTTACTGAGGAAGTGGCTTCGACTGGACAAAGAGGTGGAGGAGCTTTGACTGCAGATGGTGATGATAAGTTTTGATGAGGAGCTCAAAAGAAAGTGATGTCGTTATGGTGATGGTTAAGGAGGAGGTTGCTGGAGAAGCATTTGGAGGCGAATTTTTTAGTGGGAGGCGACGGAGTTGGCCAGAGGTATTGGACTAGGTGGCTGGAGAAAGAGTTGGAGTTCAGGTTTATTTTCCTCTCGATTTGCAAAAGTGGTGAGGGAGAGAGAGAGAGGGAGGGAGAGAGAGAGAGAGAGAGAGAGAGAGAGAGAGAGAGAGAGAGAGAGAGAGAGAGAGAGAGAGAGAGAGAGAGAGAGAGAGAGAGAGAGAAGCAGAGGATTTTACATAAGAAAATGGGTCTGGGTCGAGGTCAGGAAGGGTATAATATAAACTCATATTTATATTTTTAAAGCACTGTTAAGCGCTCAACAATAATTATACGAGCTTACTGCATGTTCTACCAGAAAGCACCACATCCACTTTCTTTGGCCGCTTTCGATGAAAGCACAGCAGTGGACACCGCTTCTGCTTTGCGGACCGCTTAAACAACCAAAAGCAGGGCACTTTTCAACACTGAAGCAGAAAGACTTCAGATCCTTGCTTCGAATTTCCTGAACATGTGAGTTGAACGAATATGTTCCTTGGAAAGTCCCAGAATTATCAAAATCTCAGGAGAACCAAAAGATTTTTTTTTTTTACTTTTCAGTTTAGCTGAATCAACATAGTGAACATCAAGACGACAAAAGTAATTTGGAACCTACATGTTTTGGTATGTTATTTTAACAGATAATTTAGTCAAGGATAATATTCTAATAGCTCTTGCAAGAACTACTTTCATCTCCTTATCTTTATGCATAAGTTATGAACTTTGAAGCACGGAAACGGGTACAGGTACGATGCAATATGGACACAAAGACAACGATTTCTAAAAACTAGGTCCCATGCATGCCATGTGTGTAGAAAAGTCATCAACTTAAAAATAGAATATTTTGACAGGTATAAGAGACGAGATGGCTACGCAGATAAGGCCATCTTAAAAATATACTACTTTGTTACACTCTCAAATAATCATAATGATTCATATCCTTTATTAGAAAAAAATGACAAACTTGGTAAAAAGAATACATCTCGAAGAAATCGTTTTTGTAATTTAGGTATTTAGGAGCAACCAAGCATTAAGATGTGACCAAGAAAGATATGTTTCATAAAATTAAACCCAGATGGATAAAGTGGAGAAGTGCTTCTATAGTATTATGTGATCATAGAATATTCATGAAATTGAAAGGGAAAAAAAATCATGAGATAACTATAAGACCATCAATACTTTATGGATCAAATTATTGGGAACTTAAAAGCTAAGAATACATTCATTATATCATACACAGTACAGATAAAGAAACTATCAATTTATTATTTGCACTTGTAAAATCTACCGGTATCAAATGAGGAGGTCTTTGTGCTGCTGTTGCTGCTGCTGTTGATGGTGATCAAGATGAAGACTGCTGTAATTTTGGGATGCAACTAGTAATGGAGGGACGAGATAAGAGGAGGGGGAGGGTTCTATTAGGGTTTTAGAGAGGGATTTTGAGATTGGATTAGGGTTTTGGAAGGGGAAGAAGAGGTTTTGGGAGTGGGATTGGGTCAGAGTCCTCATTGTTTCTGTTCTTGGATAACGAGGGGGAAGCGTCAGCGCTGGAAATGTAGAAATGAAGGATTATTAACAAATGGGGTTCTTTTGTTTGGCTCGAACTTTGGTACAGAGAAAATTTTTCATTATTAAAAAAAAAAGATAAAAGATAATTAACAGCACAGACGGCTAGACCTTCCTATATAAATATCATTTTTCCTCTCTCAGGAAAAGATAGAAGTTTTTGGTAAATCTTTTTTTTTTTTGGCCTCCCTTTTTGGAATTAGGAAGGGAACATTCCCGCAGTCCTTCATATTATGGTTATCAAACTCCAGGTGAGGCTAAGAGTGTTTCCAACATACGGTCCAGAGATATTTCAAGAAATTAAATTCGTCGGTGTTTCTTAGGAGAGCCGAACTCACAAGAAAGCCGAACATGAGATCTTCAAGTGCTGCTCATAGGACATCCTATCACTTTTAATTGATTGCTGCCAGTTCATTTTGTTAGAATATATTACATTTTGCGCTGGCTAATGCTGAAGTTATTGAATCAATAATAGAATTAAAGAAAACTCTATCAAGAAATAAATGAGATTGAAAAATCAAAACAAATGTACGATTGAAAAGTGAAACAAATCATGAATTAATGGAGACGCAAAAAAAAAGGTAAAAACGGAGGGGTCTGAGCCTGAAAATTTAGAAAAGAAATTACATGTATCGGGCCACTGAGAGCCCCATAATATCACTCACTAAAATCGGTTTAACAAACTGTGGGATGCAATTGGAGACTACAAATCCATTAGCTTGAGACAATGCTTTTTTAGCCATTAGCTCTCTCAATAAGCATGTGCTCACCTTAAATAGTATTCAAAAGTGATCTTAGAGGCACCAAATTTAACTTTTCAACCCTCTTCAATACTAGAACCAAAAATCAATTTGGAGTAAATATTCCTGTTCTTCAATACTTTTGCTGCAAGCAGCATCAACACAGAAAGACTCGAGATAAAAGAAGCTCAACTTGTTCACCATTGATAACAGGATGTATAGTCCAAAGCACATTACCCTTATCAAAGTCACAGAGTTTAATCAAGCAAATGCAACACAACAACAACAGCAACATAATCAAAGTAACAGAAGAACAAAAGGCATGTCCATCAACTGTATGAAGGAAAAAAACCATGATCAAACTTCAGCAAAAAGAGAACGGCGACATCTCCAGAAAACCAGCCATGAAGAAAGAGCTAGCACTACTGAAACCAGCAGTACTCCCAATCGATGAACTAGATTTTTACCAATCATATCCGAGCATCTCCACAATCAACAACAAATAAGGCATTAGACCTGTACTTTTATGGAAAAACAAATAGTCTTATATATACTGCTCATTAAAGAAAACCCACGAATATCTGAAGAAAAATCCAAACGAGAATCTTGTTTTAATTAGATATAGTTGCTTGGGAATAATCATAAAATTAAGGGTAAGTTCACCAGAGCCCCATCACGCTAGGGAATTCCAGAGAATCCCCCAAAATGTTTTGATTTTTATCACTTAACTCCCATAGTCCCATGACTGCTTTATGATGTTGATGCGATATTTCCTGCTCGGGAAGTCAAATATGAGCTTACGTCCTTATAGGGTTTAAGTGCAAAAAAATCAAAACGTTTTGAGGTTTTTCAAGAATTCCCAAACCTTTCAAACGTTTCTGAGGGTTATACGCCAAAGGCTAAACTTATTGGGGATTTACTGAAATTTACCCAAAAATTAATTATTTTCTACAACTGTTAGAATATAAAATCACAACCATCAACCCTCACCATATATTTAGAGTTTCGGTGCACTGACATGCACTTTAAAATGGTACCAAAGCAACCCAAGTACAATTCCCACTGACCAGGAAATATGGATTTTAAAAAAAAAATCTGACATTGCTGCGTGAGTCCATGTTTCAGCCCATTAAAAGGGCGCTTACCCTGCCGGTACATGTTAGAATATAAAATCACAAGCCTCAATCCTTATCAGAACTTTGGAGTTTTGGTGCAGTAATAGGGACTTTAAGAGTAAATATTCATCGAGTCATTCCAACAGTCTGCATTCCTATATGTCATGTCAGGGTGTTTTAGGGCAACCAATTAAGAGCAGACTTCTAACATGAAGTTTTTTAACTAACCATGAAGTTATGCAGTTTCTTCTCAAAATCATATAATAATAGACAAAAATTAGTTATCTTGGCACATGCCATATTTCTTTGATGACCTTCATTACTTAACAACATATCCTAGTGAACAAGCCATGTCCAATTTGATATGCTCAAGATGGTTGATACCCAGAATATAACAGAACATAAAGCAAATTTATGGAGTGTAACTGTGGCTCACCTCCCAATCTATCTACGACACCAAAGTAAGCCGGAGGCCCTCTCCTCAATCTGAGGGCAGCCAATCAGTCCACGAAGCACAAGTCTGGTACTCATTGTCTCAATATAACTCACACTTTTCATAGTGATCCTCGTACACTGAGAAAATGACATAAATTCTGTAGTTTTCCCACAGTTACGTGTCACATAAAACACCCCATTGTCGCTAACTCTGCACCAGGATGCACAAAGAGTTTTTAGTTTCCAACATTTGTCTGCTATCTCATCAAACTCTGATCAGTAATACTTGTGCACTGATCGACATTCAAGAACTCAATATTTTTGCCTGAAGTTCTTAGCACTGATCATAATCCCACATCACTAATTCCTATACAGCCATCTAGATGCAAAAACTGAAGTCGGTGATCAGTGTTTTGTCTTACAAGAGCTTGGAATCCTCGATCAGTGATAGATTCTAAACCATCCAAGCTAACATGATTCTAAACCATCCAAGCTAACATGCTTTGCTTGCTTGCACACTGGCCCTAATGAAGACAAGAAACAGTCATCAACTCCTTCGCATTTTATCAATTTGAGGGTTCTTAGTGATGGGAAGGTTTGTAAGTCTTGTTCTTGTGTCACTTCTTTTTTTCCAACTACAATGCAGTTCTTCAATGATAATACCTCTAAGCGCTGGCTCCAGTTTGCAACTGCTGCCAGGATTCCTCCGGAGGTGAATCCTCGACAATTCTTTAACTTGAACCTTTGGACTAACTTGGTTGTTCGGCTCAGTGCTAATAAAAAATCATCACTTAATGAGACATGACCTTTCATTTCCAAAATCTTTAAGCGGGCCAAGCTCCTTCTTACAAAAGTGGCAAAAGGACGAGGTATAGCTGCATCAAGTTTACCGATTGCTTCGATCCATGAGTAGTGATTCTCTCTAGGATATGAACCTTTTTCTAAGTAAAACACCTTTAAAGCCCGTGCATGCTCTTGTATTGCTATGAGAACTTCATCGCCAACATTCATAGAGATAAGCTTGATCCTCGTCAACTCTGGTTGACTAGGTATGAGAGAAAAGATGCCAGAATCTCCAATAAGCTGGTAGTCTATTAATGTGATGCACCTAATATGCAAAGACTTGTTTGCAAATGCCATTAGTGACTCGTTACTAATGCACGGACAGTGCTCAAGGCTCAGTATGGACAAATGTAAGCAATTCTCAGATATTGGTAGGATACCACGATCATCAATAAATGAGTTTATCAGCTCTAGCTTTTCAAGCTGTTTGCAAAATTCAGCAACGAACTTTAATCCCAAATTTCCACGGATTGGCAACTGTGAAGTGTAAGAGAAGTAAGCAAAGGGCTTAATTGGGCAATAGTCTTTAGGCCATCATCAGTGATTGCAAAGAGAGGACCTTCACACAGATAAAGAGAAGTCAAGCGATGATGAGGATAGGTTCCCACACCTAAATTAATAAGTGTAATGTCATTAGCTGAGCTCCCTTTGAGTCGACGACACAATGACAGTGTAAGTGAAAAGTCATAGGTGCTTGATCTAACTTTTGAGTATTATTAACTCGATGAGAAGCTTAAGCCATTTCCAACATACTGCAGCACTGGCGCAATGATCCCGGGCGGATTCAAGGAAGCTAAAGATATGCAACAGGCATTCTGGGGGAAGTTCATCAATTAGATCATGACTTGGTGCCATATATTTACTTTGCTTACACTGGAAACCAAAGTTTGGTTGCTCTCCATTCATCATCCTTGTCTAGCAAAAAATCATCATATCCTTACACTGGAAACCAAAGTTTGGTTGCTCTCCATTCATCATCCTTGTCTAGCAAAAAATCATCATATCAAAAATCAAGGCAATACAAATAAGAGTAAATGGGGATTATTGTGTCACAATACGGTCTTGGCTGGTGTGTAACTAACATTGTACACGACCAAAATACCAAGATCACACCTGACTGCTTGGATGTGGGTATGTCAGTAACACCAGTCAAGACTGTGGAACAAAATACCAAGATCACACCTGACTGCTTGGATGTGGGTATGTCAGTAACACCAGTCAAGACTGTGGAAGGACACACCAGCACATTCACCCTACAGATAAATGAATACTGTAAGTGTAAGTATATGTACAAGTATGTATGTATGTATGTATGTATGTATATAGTTCACAAACAAATAGATAATTATGGCAATGATTGAAAAAAAAGGGAGAACAAAAATGAAAACAATCATAAAATCATCATAAAAGCTTCCCGGTTAAGCAGCTTTTTTTTTTCCTTTTTTGCTTTCTCCTTTGAAGAAATTTATATATCATTACTTGACAGTGTTGCAAGGATCCATATCAAATATTATCAGCATTTACTATGAAGAAACTTGAAAAATCTAATTCCAAACAAAACATTTTCAAAGAGTATGGGAAAAAAGCAGGCTTTACAAGTATGTCTGAACGCCTCCAATTCATAAAGTTCATTAATTTCAGCAACACATCAATGTAAAATACTGAATAGGAAGGTTCTTAATGGAACTGTAAACAAGCTTAAAAGCAAATGACATTAAATCAAAAAATTGTTTTTTATGGAAAAAGAAACTATTTTGACCATGGCTTTAATGCCAAATGGCAACTTATAGAATATTCTCTTATTGGTGTTAATCAATTTTTTCCGTGGTTCTGTCTTCTAGAAAAAGGAAAAAGAAAAACAAGGGTAACACAACAAATATATAGAACCCAGCCAAGGATAAAATGATACCCACTACTTAGTTAAGCTAACTCAAAAAGAGAAATATAGAAAACCCAGAATGTACCTACAGTAAGATAATACCACATAGAACAATTATGATAATGAATTGGCAAGGCACTAAACTTCAAGATGTATGGTTATTTGATAATTCTCTGAGGCCAATTCCTTACAGGCAGATGCTAGCAAAACCCTCATCCTCCAGTCAAAGGAGCTTAAAGTCATCTAATGAGTTTGCAAGGACATAAAAATCCTTACAGTTTGACTAACAGGTAAAAATATTTAACCTTTCCAATCAAATCATCAATTAACCTTAACTTTGTCTTTATTTTCTTTAGGATCTTTGGTTAGATAGTAACCCTGAAAATTGCAATGTATCTCCAAAGAAAGAGAAGGAGTTATCCGCTTGCGTGAAAACAACAGATTTTTCAAAATAAATCTACAACTATTACTAAAATTCACCTAGAAAGTAAAACATAAGTAAACAGTAAAAAGATTACCTTGTTAAGCAGATCTATCCTAGATTATTAAGAAGAATCCTCCTTCGGGCAAGAAATTACCCAGCCAAAATTGCTAAGTGGATCCTGATTCTATTTGTTCCTCGGGACCTCAAACGTTCAGGTCAGCGGAGAGAAACCTTTTTGGAGAAAACCCTAATTCTTTTCCATTCCAAAATGAGTTATTTATACTTTTTGAAACTTCAGAAAACATGCCCCCTAGAAATCTTGTTAAGGGTAAAATGGGCAATTCTCTATAAGCCATCAACATTGAACAGTGTACGCCAAAAGTTTTGTTCATTGAAAAGAAATTTAGGTAATAAATGGTTTAAAGTATGCAAAAAAATACTTGCAGACAATAGAAAGTTTGAGGTATCTATATGCATTTCACCTTGAAACTTTCAAGATTCTAGACGTCCTTATTTATCAAAAATGCTATAAAAAAAGTAGCAAATGAAGGATAGAAGCTCAAGAAAGTAGCAGCAAACAAAACCATACCAAAGTAAAGCTAGTTCTCTTTGAGATCTTTGACACCTTCACCTTGACCAGGATTTAGCCAAAAATCTTTATATAGCGTAATTCAAGAACTATTTGTCATTCAAGAACTTAGCATATGATCGTAGTTGAGATGGCTACATCTTGCTAATACAATTTTTGATCAACAGTATCTCAACATCTTTGTTTAAGAGGGCTCGCCACACTCAGATTGTTCTTGTCTAAAGAGAGAAAACCTGCAAAACATGAGAAGTTGCAAACATAATTTAAATATTACATGTGACAAAAAAACTTCCTCATGAAAAACTATTGAAAAATAACTAAAAAACTAATTGCATATTCTATAATAATTCAACAGAAAGAAAAACTTGGGGAATCTTATATAGAAGAACAACTGTGAGCTGCAAGTGTGGAGCTGCAATAAGGTGGTTGTCAGTTGAGGAGGTTGAAGGGACATGCAACTATAAGATACGGAGGCAAAACAAGAAACTCTTTGTGTTAAGATTTCTTCTGAACATCAACCTTTAGTATATATAAAATATAGAATCTTTTTCACATAAATGCTTGATCTATTCAGTTTACTTATTATAAAACATTGACGATTTCCCCTTTTATTCAATACTAACTTTTTAATTATAAAAATAGAAGATTTTTTAATATAAATGCTTCATCTATTCAGTTTAATCATTTATAATACATTGAAGATTTCCCCTTTTATCCAATACTACTTTTTTAATTATTACATCCTTTAAGATCCTCGTCATTCTTACATGAAAGGCAGCGATTTCAACATCATTCGCTTATTTAGGCGGTAATAAGTGTATGTATGACCAAGGTTTTAAATGTCGGCCGACATGTCAGTCGACATATTGGTTTGAGGGCTTGACCGACACGATATGAACGTTTTCAACTCGTATGCCGGTTTTTAGGGCCAAATCGAAAATATCAGGGTTATATCGGCCTCTTTTTTAGCTTTGAAAATCGGTCGATGTGGTATTTTTTTTTAAGATCTGTTTTTTGTTATCGGGTTTGGGTTTAGTGATAAATACCCAAACCCGTTTGACCCGTTCTCAAGTTTAAGGGTTTCTTATGAACCCGATAGAAAGAATTTATGAACCCAAATCCATATATTATTTACTTTTTTATATGTTTAGTCTATAGAATTTATAAAATATGCTTATATTGAATTTATGAATGCTTAGATTACATTTAGGACATGATATTATACATATGCGCACTACCCGATATGACAATCCGATATTTAGTCAATGTCCTCCGATATATCCCCGATTTCCGCTATCCGATATGGATTTCAGTCATCCGACATGAACCCGACATCCGACATTTAAAACCTTGTGTATGACAACTACATGGGCTTGGACTTAGAGGGTTCACACATCTCAAATTGGAAGATATGCGATAATTTAGAATTCTTACAATTTTTTTTATATAACTGATGATTGGTAGAAAGCTTGTACGGACATGTTTTATGATATCGCATAAGGAATTATGCAGTAAATCAGTATAGCGATTGAAATAGACTAAACGGACTTTGAAAGACTTTCTATAATACTTTTACAACATTATTCCTCATAGAAACAATATAGAATGATTTTCAAAATAAAAGAGGGCAAACAAACTCTTGAGTCTAAGATATTAAGAAGAACGATAACAGGATATAATAAAATGTAAATTTGGCATAACTATGAAAAAGAATGAGCATGTTAGATAAAACAATAGTAAAAATATATAGTTCTTGAACCAATCAATTTTGCTAGTTTAGGTAGTTAGGAACAATCAACTATCAAGATGTGATCAAGAAGGATATGGTTCATAGAATCACAAAATTGAACCTAGATGGCTAAAGCGGACAAACACTTCTAGAGTTTTATCACTTATCTTATCATAGAACATCCATGAAATAGGAAGGACAAAAAAATGAGACAACTATAAGACCAACAATAGTTTATGGATGAAATTGTCGGGACTTAAAAATACAATCATTGTATGATTATATCATATACATTATAGAAAAAGATACTTGCATAGGAACATCGAGAAGCTTCTTAGGGGGATTTTCTTTACTAGGACATACATTTTATGAGTAATTTCCTGCATGAAATGGGAGCCCCATCAGCATTTCCATAGTCATAATTGTTTAAGGCTGGCATAATTTATACATATGTTACCACTGAACAACTTCTCTTTCTCATATACCTGTAATTAACATGGTAACGTAATATGGGAGTATTAAATCCTGTATCTTCAAGCCTTAAAATTGACAACAAATATTCATTTTTATTTATTTATTTCATTGAGCGTGTCTTATATATGTATATTTAACCAACAACTTAAAGTTTAATGTGAAGCAATTATCTAGATGGATTATTTATCTATTTATTTATTTATTTATTTATTTATTTATTTATTTATTTATTTATTTTATTTTGTATTTTTATTTTTTTGAGAAACTGGATGGGATCAAAGATCCGAGCCTCTACCATTACTCAACTGGTTGGTTACATATACAATCTATCACCTCCAACCATACGATGATATACATATACATATACAGTAGATGGATTTTAATCATGGAACTTCCATAAACTTGATAGATTTCTATATCCTGGAATAGAATTACCAATGTGAACTGTTTTTTAACGAATATCCTCATATAATCCATACAAGACTTCGGTGTATCAATACTGCCACATGAAGAAGAATTTCTACACAAAGTCAAAATTACAACTTTCCATGTTTTTAAGTACAAAAGAATAGAAACCAATATCAAAATTAAGATAAAAATCAACAGATTTACCATAATCAAAGACGTACAGATGCATCAACTCCAGTCTCTTTGTTCTCCCCTTTCGATCTGGAGATGGGTCTTCTCCTTTGATTTCGTACTTCTTCCCAGAAGCTGAAGAATCCATGATCTCTGCTCAGTCGTCTGAAGAATTAACGAAAGCAGGGATGGAGACGGGGTGAGGGGTTGAGATGATACATGCAATAGATTATGGGACAAATTTTCAAATTAGGCCCATTAGAGCATCTCCAACCGCTTCTCCATCTTCTTGAAATACTCAATTTTGGGGAATATAGAGCTGTTTTTTGGTCCAACAGATTCCCCTTCCCATTCCCCAAAATAGGGAAGGAGGAGAAAAAATAAGGAGCCTTCCCCAAATCTGCAGCATTCTCCAAATTTTTGGGGAGGGCTTTATTATTGTAATAAATGCGATTTTTCAAAATGGGGAAGCTGTTGGAGTTGGAGCAAAAATAATTTGGAGAATATGACTTTTGTTTCTTCATTTTGGAGAAAATTTTGAGGAAGCTGTTGGAGATGCTCTTAATTTGGAGAATATGACTTTTGTTTCTTCATTTTGGAGAAAATTTTGAGGAAGCTGTTGGAGATGCTCTTAGAAATTTATTTTTAAAAACCGACTCATTTAAAATTTAATTACCATTTTCGACCTAGTTTCAGCCATTTGAAAACTTCAAGGGATTCAAGCACTAAACTTTACGGGATTTTAAATCTCGTGAAGTTTTTGAATTTCTGCAGCTTCATCAACGTGGTTAATCAGACACTAAACTGCTGCTTCATCAACGTGATTAATCAGACATTAAACTTCACGTATTTTAAATCCCGTGAAGTTTTTAAACTTTGTTCGCTTTTTTCGACCCAGTTTCAACCAGGTGGCTGAAAAATGGGTTGAAAATGGTAATTAAATTTCAAATGGGTCATTTTTAAAAAATAAATTACTAATGAGGCCTATTTTAAAAATTTGCCCTTAATAAGTTTGGCAAGACCCTCCAAAATTTTCCTCATACACAAAAAAGTTATGTGTTCGAAGTAAATCACTTTCACATGTTTGGCAAATGGATAATTTTAGCGTATGAGCCATTAAAAATAAGCTATGATACTTTAGCTTATTTTTTGGTAGCTTGTAAGCCACAATATTTAAGCAAGCAAACGATTGACGCATGCCTTATCATTTTATAGAAATCCTACACTCATTATTTGGTAGCTTATTTTCGTGCTTTCTAAAAAAGAATAAAATCGAAAATGGCCTGGAAAAATAGGAAGAGTACTTTTATTACTCTTCCACTCCAAACAAGCATTCTTCACCATATTTTTGAGGTCATCTTAACAAAAAATAAAGCCAAACGTAAAAACTATTACCTTGATAAATTAATTTTAATTGTATGCAATCCGTGCCATTATTTTCATTCTTTATGTATTTCATTGAAAAACTTTTTTTTGACCTGATTAATTAAATTACGAAAAAAAACTTTTAATTTAGTCAATGAATTTCTTTAGATTGTGTACTTGCTTCAGACTCAGAATCTTTTCACCGTCATAAGATGGATTTATAAAGGCAAAGATGGATGATTATGAGATAGTTTTTATAAGTGAAAAAAAATTAAAATGAAAATATTGTGATACCTTTCATATCCTTCCCTTCACTGAATTAAATTTTCTTTTTTGCACGGAACTGGCTATATGAAGTAGGTGAAGAAGACGAAGTAGATGTTACCTTTGTTATTTCCAAACAAAAAAAGTTGTGTATTTATTTGGAAAAATTATTCTCACTATTTCCTTAATTGATGATGTGGAATCTAGGCAGGACCTCTACTTCAAAAGTTTGGACAAATTTTCAAAACAGTCCTCTTTGAACTTTTAATCCAAAAAAAAAAGACTCATATTTAACTTATTTTCAGAAACCGACCTGTTTTCAGCCTCAGCGCTGAAACCAGGTCGGTTTCTGGAAAAAAAGTTTCGAAACTTCACGGGAGTTCAACTCCCGTGAAGTTTTGTAAGCTTACTAAACTTCACGGGAGTTCAACTCCCGTGAAGTTTCGAATTTTTTTTTCCAGAAACCAACCTGGTTTCAGCGTTGAGGCTGAATCCAGGTCGGTTTCTGAAACTAAGTTAGAAATGAGTCTTTTTTTTTTTACGATTATTATTGTAAACGGGATTGTTATGAAAATTCCTCCTCAAAAGTTTTCCCCCTCCTTATCAAGCCTCCAAAACAGCTTGAAAGTAGGAAAAAAATAAATATGGGGCCCATGTGAAAGATGCCGGAATAAACTTGATATAGCTCAGAATGGTTTGTTAACCGTGCCTTCTCTATCTTCTTCTATTAAGTTGATCATTATCGCATCGTCCTCAGCAACCTCTAACCAAGTTCTCTCAGGCCTACCTACTATAGTCATTTAGAAATTTTGAGATATGAACGATCGCCGGAATTTCTACGGCGAAGAACCTTGAGGCATCCGTATCTCCTAGATAAGCATGCGATGGGATCTCTATGAAACTTCAATATACACTTAGATCAAAGCAAATACAAAACTCTACATCTTACAATGTCTCCAACATCAGAAATGTGAAGTTGTTTGCAATAAGAAGGCAGCCAAGCTAGCAGATGGTCAAGTTTGCAGTAAGGCCTGAAAATGTTATCTGACAGAAATTATCTGATAGGAATTATTAGGCAACAACAAAAAAAAAAAAGTAACAAACAAAGAAGAGGAATGCCATGGAAAGAACTTCAATAAGCGTCAATATCAAACACTGGTGAACCAAGGCCTTCAGAAGGCCTGATAGGCCTATCCTACCCATACTTTCCAGGGTTGATTGCATATAAACACCATGTAATATCGCTGTTTTGAACTTACTACCCCTATAGTTTCATTGATGCAGATAGACCCCCTGGATTTAAACTTTATTGACTCTTTTACCTCAGGCAGACTCGCAAAATACACCCAGAGGCGATATCGGCCGAAATTTCACCAAGGATAGGACCATCTGCAAACATGAAACTACAAGGATAGTCACTCCCTATCTGCAATCGACCCCCCACTTTTTATGACGCAGAATTTGCTCACGCAAACAAAGGTCATCGGTTCATACAGTGTAGGACAAAGAAGGAAGCGCTTATCCCTCCACAAACACGAGAATGATTATACCCCAAATTCACGTCCTTTTCTGAGAACATCACACGCTAGCAACGAGCAACGCAAACACGCGATTAATACCAAAATAAGGTACAGCTACTTCCTTCAACAACATGAGATCAGTGACTTCACTGGTAATGGTAACGGTCTACAAAATTTAACACTAAACAATACAAGTTTCTCAATCCGTCTTCAAATTCATGTACGTTAGATCAAATTCATGGTAGGTTAGATCATAACCTGGAACCGAACAAAACTCAGGTCTGATAAAGAAGCCTTAGTACAATCTCCCAGTGCATTCTATGGAGCCACAGTAGCATTCCTTTTTCCTTATGTTACCATCAGAATCATGGACGTCGTCTATTATATAATTGTAATGATATGTAAGTTCCTGCAATGGGGGAATATCCTCACAAGCAAAAAACAGAACATGTGGCATTCTCTTGTCATCATGATCATAGAGGACATTCTGAGCATAAAGGTTTGGTGTGCAGCTGTGATTGATAAACTTTCCAACATTCCCATACCTAGAAGAATCAAGTGTAAAACCCCCATCCTCCTCGGCTTCATTTGAAGCGCTTTTTTGTAAGCAAGGCACAGAAGAGAGGCCCTCCCAAAGAGACTCATCATAGTAATTATTCCCAATAGCGAATAAATACTCATCGGTCATCCTTTTCTGAGCTTCTTCGTCCTCTAGCAACTCGCCAACATATTCACAGATGAAGCTTCCAGAAGGAATAAAAGCCTGTGAACGAACCCCCCAACCCATAGTCTTGGTCTTGAATATCTCTAGTGGAAATTTGATCCCGTGTTGAATTGGTTTATTATGGCATGACGGTGGACATTTGCAAGAAGGACCACATGCATATATTAGAGGTTTTGCTTCCACAATTGCACCTTTTCTATTAAAAGGAAGCTCCCCTCCGTTTCTCACAGCACACGCACATGTGTCAGAATCTGAGCATCCATCAACACAATTACACCCCTCTAAAGGAGTCAAGCTATAATTCAACGGATAAATCACCTCAGTTATGTATTCAATGGGTAATAAGTGTTCATCATCGACAGTATTCACTACGCTGATAGGCAATTTCTCTTTTCCCTTTGAAAAATCTTCAGTGAGCTTCGGAGCAGAGTATGGTTTCAAGCTCAATGACTTATTGATGTCTTGGAAATCGAGCTTAGCTTGTCCTGGCAACCTTCTCAACCGAAACATAAGGACATTGTGGCCATTATGATCTTTCCTCCTCCACCATTTCTCAACGAGATAGAGCCCGCAGTAAACATAAAAATAAGACTTGTTTTTAACCTTGAAACCATGAAAAACTCGAACAGGTGTTTTGGCATCAATACTGTTCTTCAGTGCCAAGTTTCCTTTGATCATCGTCTGGTCTCTATTCGGCATCCCATTACCACAAAATGATAAAATATCTGAGTTGCACAAATTATTAGCGTACGGCCTCAAGTGGAGGGAAACAGTACTAACAGCAATTAACTTTCCGTCTTTTCTAATATAATCTATGTCACGGAGTTGACAATGGAGGCCAAGCAAGGTCAATTCAACTCTAAAGCGAAAACTATCGCCTATTTCAACACCTGGTACAGCTCCCAAGTGCCTTGTTAGATTGCTCCATTCTTTGTTTTTGTCCTTGTAAAGATTATAAGCATCTAAATCTAACCTTGACCTTATCCCTGGTACTTTTTTCTGATTGATTTCTTCTTCCTTTGCCAGCTTCTCATATATTGATTGAAAATCTTGTAAGGTTTGTTTAACTCTCTTCCGACTATCAGGTTCAGCTCCATTAGTTTGAGATTCTTCTTCTTCTCCCTCTCTCCCTCTCTTACCAAGACATCTTGTACCTTCAACAACATCCAATTGACTACTAATTTTGCAGTTCTCTGAAGGAGAAGGCCTACGAACTAAAGCATGAAACTCTTGGCTTGTACATTTGGAAGGATCCGATGAGGAATTTATCAACTTCATAACGTCTTTGATTTCCAGTTTGGCTTGTCCCTCTAACCTCCTCAACTGAAACAAGAACACCTTACAACTATGATTGCCTTTCTTGCTCCAATATTTCTCAGCTGAATACAACCCACCATAAACATATGTCTTCTTCTTATCATGAAAACCAAGAATAACTCGAATTGGCATCTTCTCACTGATACTGTTCTTGAGTGCCAAGTTGCCGTCCTCCATCTTCTGATCCTTATTCTCCTTCCCACTACCTCGACACAGCAAAATATCACCAGATGAACGCACAAAGTTGCTAAATTTGCCCGTAAGAAAAATAACAATGCTAATAGCAACTGGCCTCTCATCTTTCATAACATAATCGATATTGGCTTGATGACAATGCATGCCAACCAAGAATAGCTCAATCCTGCATTCGAACTTATCCCCAATTTCAACACCCTGTACAGCCCCCAAAAACCCACTAACACTCTGAAATTCTTTTCTTTTCTCCTTGAAACGATTGTAAGCCACAAGATCAGTCCTTGATATATGTCCCACCTGCTTCTCTTCTTCTTTTAGCTTAGCATATATCCCCCGAAACTCACCCAATATTTGCTTAACTCTTTTTCGACTATCGGTTTCTTGAGACATTACTTCTTCTTCTTCCTCTCTCCCACTCTTAGCAAGACAACTTGTAACTTCATCAACATCCAGTTTAGTTCTAATTTTGCAGGTCTCTGAAGGAGAAGGACCGTGAACTAAAGAATGAAACTCTTGGCTTGTGCACTTCATAATGTCTTTGATGTCGAGTATGGCTTGTCCCTCTAACCTCCTCAACTGAAACAAAAACACCTTACAACTATGATTGTCTTTCCTTCTCCATTGTTTCTCAACTGAATACAACCCACCATAAACATACGTCCTCTTCCTTCCATTTAAACCGAGAATAACCCTAACTGGATTCCTCTCACTGATACTGTTCTTGAGTGCAAAGTTGCCATCCTCCATATTTTGATCCTTATTCTCCTTCCCACTACCACGACACACCAAAATACCACCAGATGATCGCACATAATTGCTATACCTCCCATTGAGAAAAATAACAATGCTAGTAGCAACCAACCTTTCATCTTTCATAAAGTAATCAATATTGGCCAATAGACGATGATGCAAGCCAACCAAAAAGAGCTCAATCCTGAATTCGAACTTATCCCCAATTTCAACACCCTCTACAGCCCCCAAACACTTATTGGCACTCTCAGGTCCTCTTCTTTTCTCCTTGTAACGATTGTAAGCCACGAGATCAGGCCTCGATGTGTCTCCAGGTTGCTTCTCCTCTTCTTCAATTAGCTTCGTATATATTCTTCGAAACTCATTCAATGTTCTTTTAACTCTTTTCCGATTACTGCTTTCTTGAGACACTACTACTTCTTTTTCATCTCTTCTTATTAAAGGCGTTTTAGGCCTGCCAGATCTTGAATTCTGCACAGCAGAGACTCGAACACGAGACGGGTATCTCCTCGGTAGAGAATTCCGGCTTTCATCAGCTTGAGATTTCAACACGTCCGAAGAATTATTTTGCTTAGGGATGGAACTGGGTTTGGGTGCGGAATTTGCTCGAGCTGGGGTTTTACGGAGAGAATAACTCGATTCCACAACGGTGAAGTGCTTGGATTTACTTGAAACCCCAGTTTTTTCACTAGATTCCATCATCGTCCACCAATTATCTAGAAGAAAAATCACAATTTCAATGATAAAGCTAGACGCCTAGAATCAAGCAGCATTGTCTAGATTCGCTATAAATAACAGCAAGATATCAGTTAACAAGTGATCTAGAGGAGTTTGATGACGATTAGGGTTTCTTTGATTGGAAAAAAAAAAGAGAATCGAGTTTTGAAGTAAAAAATTTAGGGGAAAAAAGGGAAGCTGAGCAAGAAAAGACCTGGGTTTCGATCAAACCGTACAAAATTGGGATTGCGGCGAGATTAGGGCCAAAAAGTTTGAATATTTGATGCAGATCGCACTAGCCGCTCTCTCTCCAGTTGAGGAAGAAAATGATTCGACGAAGAGGGATCGTTACCTCCAGTAGAGCTGGGACTTCCCATTATTTTATAATTTTCATGTATAGGGTGGGTTTATCCGAGCGGTGAACTTACCTCGTAAAGGATTAGTTGAAAATTACTACGTGAATTTTCGTCGGCTTAATTGCACTTAAATACCACATAGTTTCTTTTCTCCTCTGTTGCACTTATATAGCCCCACTTATTTTTTTCAGCATTTATACTCTATAAAGTTTTTAAAGCTTTCACTTTTGTACCCTCAATTGTTTATGGTAACACTTATACTCCCTAAAAGTTTGTTTGGGAGATAACCTAGGGAGGGGAAGGAATGGGAAAAGTTCCCCTCCCTTCCCTTCTCCTTCATTACACCTCAATTTGGGGTGTAAGATTTTGGCTCAAATTCACCTTCATTCTCCTCCTTTTACCCTTCTAAATGGAACTCCCAAACAATATTAAAATTAGATTTCTCTTTCCCTCTCTCTCTCTCTCTATCTTCCATCCAAAGGTTTTAGAATTTGCACTTGAATACCCCCAAGTTTGTATAAATAAGAGTATTTAAGTGTAAGTTTAAGTACATGTTTTAAAAAGTTTAGTGTGTAAGTGCTGCCTAAACGAGTAAACGTATATAAATGCAAGTTTTAAAAGCTCTAGAGTACATATATGCTTCCCAAAACAAATGGTGGTATATAAGTGGAAAGTGGGGTAACTGTAGAGTATTTTAAGTGCAATTATGCCATTTGTGTTTTCTCTCTTTTTTCAGCCAGTTAGGTTTTACTACAGGAATATCTTCTCTCTTTTTTGGATTTTGAGCCTTACGTAGTCAATAAAGCTCCGTTAGTGTTTACCGGTACTGTTTTTTACATGCCTTGTGATGACCTTTGTATAAATGCACCTTAAAAGAGGTCAGTAAATTTCGAGCATATGTAGCGTAAGTGGTCAAAGTTGCTTATAAACTACTTTGACATGTTTAGGAATAGCTTCTTTTAGCTTATAAACCATCAAAAAATAAGCTGAAATGTCCTAACTTATTTCTTAGCGGTTTATAAGCCAAAAGGCTTGACCGTGTAAAAGACCAATACATCCGTTATCAATTTAGAAAATTTTAAGCCACATTTATCATCTCTTTCCAGCTTATTAAATGTATCTTGATCATTTTGACAACATTAATGATGGCTTATAGGCCATCAATTTGCCAAATACTTTACTATTAAAAATAAAGTATATCATCGACTAAACACTTTGGTTTATACCCCATTTCGCTTATATGATCCAAAGTTGCTAGACATGCATGCATGCTCTTATTATTATTATGGATACATGCTCGTACTTGAGAAAGTTTTCTATGGATGTGCTGAGGGTGAACATGCTGCAGCAAGAGTTCGGATTTTTTTTTCTTGGAAGGGACAAACAGGCATAAGACTCTTCCACCCATTTTGTTGGTTGGGGTTTGGCTGGAAAAGGATCGCGGAGCATCAAGATTCCCACTACTACTGGTTCGGATCTGGACCTGGGATTGGGTTTGTTCGATGTCTAATTGGGTTAGGGTTTTGGTGGAGAGAGGACGCCTCACTAATTAATGGATCAAAGAAGAACGATCTACTACAACCACCGCGTTCGGTCTGTGGTTAAGTCAGCCCAAAATCCCCAACTTCATATATACATAATTGTTGAATAATTTTTTTTTCAAACATCACATGGGTTGCTGCAACAGCCCATGTTTTCAATTTTTGTCAAAAGTTGTGGGCCCCACTGAAGGAAATTTAAGACGCGGGCCCTATATGCATAGTAAAATATTATTATTTTATTAGTGCATAGTATTTTCCCAAACGCTATAAATAGACCCCAAATCCTTAAGGAAAATTCATTCCAAAAACAATAATCAATATATACAGATATAGATTGTAAAATAGCTTGTGCTTATAGGAACTTTGCCTTGACCGAAAGGTCTGATAGATCGAGGAGATCTTTGCTTGATAGATCGAGGAGATCTTTGCCTGATAGATCAAGAAGATCTTTGGCTTATAGATCGAGGAGATCTTGACAGTACTGGGTCGATGCACACCAGAGTACTGAACTGCTATTCCTGGAAGCAATTTGGCCTTGGGATCCTTGCACCGGAGTAGGCCAAATAATACTTTAAACACAACGTTTTACAAACGCACAGCAGCTGAGTTAAAATTTTTTAAATTACTGTACTTCATCTTTCTTTCAGTTATTTGCTGCTTTATATCTGTATTATTCCATATTTAACCACAGATGCCAACAATCTTAAAGCATTATTTTGATCTATCATGGATCCTGCAAGGACTCTTAGAGTGGACTATCTTAAATTAGAAAATTTTGACGGTTCCAACTTCAACGCATGGCGTCGGAAAGTGATCTTCGGTATGCAACTCTTGAAAATCTACTATGTGATCTTTGAGGAGAAACCTGACTTTGAAGAAGATGCTGAATCTGAAGCCTCTTGGGCTAAAGATGATCACTTCTGCAGGAGTTATCTCCTTAACTGTCTGACCGATCATCTGGCAGATGCTTACATCAACAAGCCTTCTGCAAAGAAAATCCAGGATGCTCTGGAGGACCAGTACAAGGATGAGGAGAAGCTGTCCAAATCTCACCTCATTGATAAGTTTTTGGACTTGAAGTTCGAAGATGACACTGAGATTTTGCCTCAAGTTAAAGAACTTGAAAAGCTTGTTATGAAGCTGAAGGATGAAAAAATCAGTTTTTGTCAAACATTCATTTCTGGTGCAATTATCAACAAACTTCCTCCATCTTGGATGTTATTCTCCACTGACATCCAAAGAAGGAAAAGACAGGTGACTCTGTTTGATCTGAAGAGGTTCATTCAGATCAAGGACGAGACTCGGACTCGCACGATAACTGAGCTCATTGCTAAGCAGAAGGCGTCTCCTAACATGGTGGCTGCTAACTCTGAAAAGGGTAATAATTCATCTTTCAAGAAGAAGAAGTCTTTTAACAGAAAAAAGAACCAGAATCCAAAGAACCTGAACGTTCAGAAGAAGGAGTTCAAGAAGAGCGGCAAATGCTTCAATTGTGAGAAGCAATGATATTTTGCCAAGGACTGTAAAGCACTAAAGAAAGAAACTACACATAATGTCAATCAAATTGATGATTGTGTGGCTATGCTCTTCCAGGTAACAACTCCTAACAACATCTCTGGTTGGTGGTTAGATACAGGTGCTACTTATCATGTCTGCTCCAACAGAGATCTATTCTCTTCTTATGTTACTGTCAAAGAGAATGTATCAATGGCTGATCGTTCTGTGGTTCCTGTTCTTGGAACTGGGACTGTGGTGCTGACTCTCTCTTCAGGAAAGACTCTCACATTGAAGGATGTGAAATATGTTCTCTCAATTGTTAAAAACATAGTTTCTGGAAGCTTGCTATGTGATGTAGGTATGAGACTGGATTTCCAAGGAGGTAAGGTTGTATTATCCTTTAAGAAAATATATTTTAAAAATGCATATCATACTGATGGCATGTATAAGATCATTACTATTGCACCTAACTTGGTTATAAATAAAGTATCCTCTTCTGATTACTCCCATGTATTATGGTATACTAGGCTGGGACATGTAAATTATAGAAAATGTCTAGCATGGAGAAGTTAGGATTATTTCCAAAATATGGGGGTAACAAATCTAAAAAATGTGAAGTTTGTGCGCAAGCAAAGCTGACGAGGAAGCCATTTTCAAGTGTCACGAGAAGCACCAACCTGTTGAATCTAATTCATTCAGATACTTGTGACTTCAAAAGCTTCATCACTCGTGGAGGCAAGAAGTACTTCATCACCTTCATCAACGACCATTCTTGCTTCTGCCACATTTACCTGCTGAAATCTAAAGATGAAGTCTTCAGCAAATTTGTCGAGTTTTGGACTCGAGTGAAGAAGCAGCTTGGACTACAGGTGAAAAGACTCAGGAGCGACAGAGGAGGAGAATACCGATCTAAGGAATCAGAAGCATACTTCAAGGAGCATGGAATTATTACAGAAACTACTGCTTTGTATTCTCCGCAATCTAATGGGATTGCAGAAAGGAAGAATTGCACATTGACCGAGATGGTGAATTCGATGCTAATCACATCTGGTTTACCTGCCTGCTATTGCGGAGAGGCTTTGCTGATGACAAACTGGATCCTAAACAGAGTACCCTACTCCAAAACTGATAGTACTCCTCATCAGTTATGGTTAGGATATCCAGACCCTTTGGATAATCTCAAAGTGTGGGGGTGTCTCGCATATGTTCGAATTCTAGATATCAGAAGGCCTAAGCTCGGACCAAAGACAAACAGATGTGTGTTTCTTGGCTTTGCTGGAGATAGCAATACGTGTAGGTTCCTGGACCTTGGAACCAACTCCATCTTTGAAGCTCGGGATGCAGAAGTCTTTGAGGATAAGTTTATCAAACATAAAGGCTTATTGCTCAAAGATGTAGCAGAGAATGCTAATATGTCAGATACACCAGAGGAGCCAATTTCGGAAGAAACTAAAAATATCAATTATGAAGGAGTTATCGAACCATCATCCAAGCGTGTCAGGAGACAGAAAGATTTTGGAGATGACTTCATCACCTATAATATGGAAGGAGACCCACAGACTTTTCAAGAAGCAATGCAGTCATCAGACAAACTTCTGTGGAAAGAAGCTATAGAGGATGAGATGGATTCATTGATCCAAAATCATACTTGGGAGCTGGTGAATATACGTGAAGGTGCAAGGCCTATCAGTTGCAAGTGGATCTTTAAGAAGAAGCTTCGTCCTGATGGTACTATTGAAAAGTACAAAGCAAGACTGGTGGCAAAAGGATTCTCTCAAAAAGAAAGTATAGACTTCTTTGATATCTATGCACCAGTTTGCAAGATCACTACCATCAGAGTACTTATCACATGGGCGACGATTAAAAGGTTTTTCATACATCAGATAAATGTGAAGACTGCCTTTCTCAATGGAGATATCACAGAAGAGATCTACATGGAGAAACCAGAGGACTTGATGCACCAGCTGGTAAGGTTTGTAAACTTGTTAAGTCTTTATATGGACTTAAGCAAGCACTAAAAATATGGCATGAGAAGTTCGATGGGGTTGTTCGCAACAATGGGTATCAAGTCAGTGAATTTGACAAGTGCCTATACATCAAGGTCGCTGAAGGAAAAAATGTGGTGATCATCTGCCTCTATGTGGATGATATGCTCATCATCGGGAGTGATTTGGAGATAGTAATATCTACCAAGAAATTTCTTTCAGCACAGTTCAGCATGAAGGACCTTAGAACTGCGAACATGATTCTCAGAATCAAAATCATATACTCTAAATAGGGTATTGGATTGTCTCCATCTTATTATATCGAGAGCATGCTAAGGAAGTATGACTACAATGACTTGCTAGAACTATCAGTGTCATACGATTACAATAAGAAGCTTCGACCAAACACTGGAAGACCAATAGAGCAGCTGAGGTACTCAAAGATCATTGGGAGTCTCATGTACGTGATGAGATGCACAAGGCCAGACATTACATTCGCTGTAGGAATACTTAGTAGGTTCACAAGTAATCCTGGAAAGCTTTATTGGGATGCTATCCAGAGATTAATGAGATACTTGAAAGGAACTACAGGTCTAGGCCTATTCTACATTGGATATCCGGCTATAATCAAAGGCTATTCAGATGCGAGCTGGTGCTCAGAATCAGATGAGTGCAGATCTACTGGAGGATTTGTCTTCACTATGGGTGGAGCTGTCGTCTCATGGAAGTCTAAGAAGCAGACCATGATTGCACAGTTTTCGATGAGGAAAAGCCCGCAAAAGCATGATATAATCGATCAAAAATTTGAAAAAAAAAGATCTTTTCTCTCTTTATAGAAAGATGTTATTTCACCAAGCCACATAAGGCAAAGTTCAGCCATGCAGAAGGTACTTGTTTAATGATTGGGCTGGAATCAAAAGTATTTTATTAAGTATTTAATCTGGTGTGGTAGAAAGAACTATATATCTAGATATATAGTTCTTTCTACCACACCTGCTAGTATGGAACCGTAGACAGTCAAGTGAAATCTAATCCTCCGGCAGCACAACCGAGACAGCGACGGGTTCTCTGCCCCTGCGGGGATGGAGCGACAGAAGTATTGAGAATCCATTGATTCAGAATCACAGGATTGGTTGATGTCACAGCCAACATATGAATCCATTTTTGGTTGTGGTGTTGTATTCCCACCTTGAGCCCACCTAAAAAAATTCAAATTACGATCTTCTAATCTAATAAGAACAAGAGATCTTTCTCGATCAATCCCTTTGCCCCTTGTAGGGTGAAAATTTGATTCTTCCGAAGAAAGGAGTTTCGTTTGTATTTATAAGAAAGCTTATTACAAACTAACAAATCAAATGTTTACAACAGAAGCAGAGGGAAGGCCCTCTTTGTTTTGTGTGGGGACTTTAGGTGGCTATAGGACGCTTCGCTCAATGCTCGGGTCGAGTCTGCTTCCCTTGGACCGTTTGAACGAGGTTGCTGGAGAGCTTCAGTTCGCAGTAGAAGCTCGGGGCAATGGAGTTCGGGTCTGCTTAGTTCGTCGGCGATCGGAGCTCGGAACTAGGCAGCGGTGCTGTAATGCAAGGATTTGCTAACAGCTTGGTCTCAACTCTTTCTTCTTCAAGTTTTGCGACCTCTCTTCCATCGTGCTGGAAGGGGTTTTTAAATGAAAGAAGGACAGCTTGACTTCTCCTTGAATTGTGGGATGTGACCACATCCTCTTCAGAGACGTCTCGCCGTTCCTCGATACCATGAACGGTCATTCCAGGGATTGTGTTCTATGTCCTGTCACCTACGATGGGAAGGCCCATTCTTGTATGTGAGGCAACAAACGACTGCTATCCGAGTGGATTTGACCAGCATTAATGAACCGCATTTATGAGTTCGCAGATCGATGAAGTGTCTGTCCGATCACTTGTACTGTGCGTGACCGCCCGGCGTGCTTTGAGCACGACGCTTTCTCCTTTCCGGTTAGGAGAGGCGGTGAAGTAGGTGTACAGTACTCGAGTGGGTCTAGCCAGCTTGCCGAGTGCCGGCGGATCCACCTCCAGACTCAGACAGCCGAGGTGAGTCGCATTTATGAATGCTCAGGTTGACTCGACACCTGTCCAGCTCCTTCGCGCTGGTGCGCACTGTGGGCGGCCGTTTGACGGTCCTGGGGTACTGTGCTCTCTCTCCCTTCGGGTCGAGAGAGATGGGAAGGCCCATCTCAGCACGTGGGGTAGTGGATACCCAGCTGTACTGACGGTTTTGGGGCTTGCTGGCGGATTCGACTCCGAACTCGTGCAGGCGAGTTGAGCGAAGAGCGAATTTTCGCCATCCTGATCGACCATAACTCGTGCTGGCGAGTCGACCGTTAGGCGAACCTGGACTTGAGTACAGTCGACGTCTACGCGGTTTAGGTCCGTACCAGAGAACTGGGCGTGCGAGCTCTTCTCGTAGGCAAATTTTCTGTGGATCCATAGAGGTATTTTTTACCGTCTACAAGACCCCCTTCAAAGTTTTCAGACCTAAACTGGCTTGCGTGTGGTCTGGAATACTTTGAATGAAGAAATTGTTGGCGAAGCAAGTGCCTTCGATTTCCCTTAGGATTTTTAGCAAATCCTCAGCTATCAACGGGTTTGTTGTGCCTTTACCGATTACCGTTTGAATCGGGCTAGCCATACTATTCCCCTCAGTATGATGAGTTGTCGAACAGTTTCTCTTAGGCTTAATGCTAAGATTTCTGCTCTAACCCTTAGCCATCTGGGGCGTGGGTTTCAACCGTTTAAGCAAGGTCATTCTTTTGGCTTTGTTCGTAATTTTACCTTTGAGGGCGAATGCATCGTCAAGGCGAAATTAGTTTTTGGGAGCCAAATTTCACGCGACTCGTGGGGTTATGCCTCGTATTTGCAGGCGAAACCCTTCCTTTTGTAGGCGGAACCGGATCTGACGGGAGATGAGACACATGTCTGCTGATAGAGCCTCGCGCTTCCCAGCTAAGACATTGGATCGTGGTGATCGTGACTTGACAGCACGATCTTC